ACACACATAGCACAGAAGACATAGATTATTAAAAAAAAACAACCAAAAAAAACCTCACTAACCCTCATAGTGTTTTCCCTTTGGAGAAAAAGAGTGAAGCACAGGACAGCATATGCCAAATGCTTGTCATATTGCTTGATACCTTTCTGGGAAGCACTCAGACCCCAGGGACAGGAATACCCTAAGAACCTGAAGAGAATACCAACCAAAAAAGAGGGATTAGTAATGGTGGAAGATGGCGATTCTCAGTTGTTGAGGTACAGTTAAAATCTAAATGAGGTCAAAACGTGCTGTCTCATGGCAGCCTGAAAGCCCAGGTGAGGTGACCTGGTGGCTTCAGTCCTGTTCCCAATGGACAGATATCCACATCATATAAAACCATCATCATCGCTGGCACTGATGATAAATGACAGGATAGAGACTGACTGAGCTATGGAGACATCTCTCTCACTAGCAGTGTTTCCTCTGGAAGCACACTAGCATAGCATTGTGAAGACACTGTGGCTGCTCATGCTTTGTGTCTTCTCTAGACATAAATTTCCAGCTCTGGGGCTGTCAATCCATTACATTTCACAAGTGAAAAACTCATTGGGTACTAATAGATAAATCATACTTTTGCCTAGAACCTGCATTTTCTTTTTCTTTTTTTGCTGTGAAAAATGTACGGACCAGATTGGCCAGTTTTTGATTTGGATCATATTTCCTTGCTGCCCCTGGGTGGAAGGGGGCTAGCACCTGTGCTCAAGATTGGGACTGGGAACAACCCTCTGGCTGAGAAGAGTACCATTCAGCAGTCAACACCATGAAGCGTCTCAAAGGAGAGCCTGGTCCAGTAGCATAACAGGAGTAGCAACAGTGGGCACATCTACACGTGCACTTTAATGCACATTAGCCTATTTTAATGAGCATTAAAGCATCACAAAAAAAATGCTCTTTAGCTAATGCACATTAAAATAGGCTAATGTAGCTTTATGTAGTGCCTCATAATGGAGGTACTAGATTTAATGTGCATTACCTAAAGTGCATTCATGAATGTGTAGACATACCCAGTTTTGCCTGTGGATACAGTGAAAGACAGAGAGAGCACCTAGTGGTGACAGTGTGTAATCAATCATCTTTGGTATTTAAAAATATATGCTTTTAAAAGGTAGCTCAGAGACCAAATTACCCCCTTCATCTTATACATCTCTTTCCAATCTTCCCCAGTCATACACAAACAGTTTGCCAGTAGACCCACTTTGTAAGCACACTCCCGCCTGCAAAAGCCATTTAGCCAAGTTTCCAGGCACACAATTGGAAAAGATTATGCTAGATAGGCACACGCAGGTCCAGACACATACGCGCTCAGGGATAACTCAGGTGTTGTTTGTGAGAGGGGAGTGGGAGAGTCTGGGGTGGCATTGAATGGGGGAACTTTGTAAGCGGCATCAATCAGATTTGATGGCATCAAGTGAAAGCTAGGATTTCAGCGATGCTGACAAGCAGAAAGAGGAGGTGGGATGGGGTTGGGTACATCATGACTATAAAAAGGCTTCAGTTATCCACACAGAGCAAGAGGCTGCTCTGATCTCTGATCTGCCCTACAAACACGTGGGTTGGGCAGAGGAACACCAAGCACCTGAGACAAGGAGTTGAAGCCTAACGATGAAGATTTATGCACTGACCATCCTTGCTGCCCTCCTGGTACAGGCCTCTGTCCTGGTTCAAGGTGGGGCAGGGTGGGGTGGGAAAGAATTGGCAGCTCCACAGAAGGAGCTTGTGGCAGAGAAAGCAAAAGAAGCATCTCCGCTATCAGATGGAGGAGATGACATGCCAGAAAGCAGCACGGCAAAGAGTCCATCTCCTGCAAGAGCGTGGAAGATAGCAGGAGACATTGGGGCCACGGCTGGGTCCCACAGCAAACCAGCGACCAAGCCACAGCTGGGAAGCAGCAAACAGAATGCCACTAGCAAGCAGCAGAGACCCCAGCCACAGCAGCCCCTCAAGGCCAAGAATAATGGACTGAGCAATTTCTTGAAAGGCCATGGGAAATTCAATTCTGACACCGTGAGTATAACACTCCCCCCTCCCTTCCACCTCAGACCCTGGTGCCCACCCAACAGATGCATCCACCAAGGTCGGGAGGCAGCACTGGTATATCACACCATGCGATAAAATATAAAAGACCAATAAACAACAATTAATGACGAGGGAGACAGGCATCCTATCTCAGAGAAGGAAGAAGCCAGAGTGCTGAGGGTTTGCATGGGGTAGACATGGTGAAAGAGGCATCAGGCTCTCGACCATTGCCTAGCAACCAATTAAAGCTCTCAGGTGGTTTTCCTCGTCTTTGCCTAGTATGTGTGCAACTGCAGGCAGTTCTGTGATTCAGCCAGGCCGATCCGCCTACAGGGCAACGTTCCCTCTAAGGTTTAGCGATCCGTGAGCAATCCTGGCTGGGAGTGTGTGGGTATCTCAGTGTGCCCGTCCCTCCCACCTCCTGCAGTAGCCTGTGGCCAGGTTGGGGCGGGGGGCAAGCAGCCGGATGCAAACCTGGCGGCGGCAGCAGGAGGAGCACTGGCACCCCCTTGCTACAGCACTGGGCACCCCCACTAGCCATGGCCCCCTACCACCTTCCCCCACCCCCTGTTGGTATGCCACTGTGTGTATGGCATTAAAAAGTTATTGCGTGGCATGAAGTTTTTATTGTGCGCAGCTGCACATGCGTACAGCTTAGAGGGAACTGTGCTACAGGGCTTCAGGTGGGCTCAAAAGTTATCTGACTCTGACATTCAGAAGCTCATAACAAAATGACAGGGCCCTATAAATGGCTTCTTTCAAGTGCTGTCCCATAGCCATCAATCACTACCTTGGGTGAGACAAAGAATATCTTTTAAGGCTAGACAGTCGCCACAGTGCAAATACCAGTGCCAGATGGCCTGTCTTTGCCAGCAGGGAAGTGTCCCAGCACCTAGGCAAGCTGGGAATCTCTTCAGAGTAACGCTACATCGCAGTCTGTCTCATCATTAGTTTTCCGAGTAAACGAATGAACCAAATGGACCCAGGAGATTTAGATCCAAGCTGAAATTAAGAGACGTGAAGCCCATTCCCAGGGCCTCTGCTTCAAATCTAAGCAAGCACTTTGTGACACCTTCCTGATACTTTTCACCAACAATTATCATCACCCAGATGCCCAGATTCAGGCAACTAAATAAATATGAGCTTCAGGCATCCAGGCTTAAAAGTTGTACCTTGAAAGTACAGGCAGCTTACGGGAAGACACCTGAGGGGATGGAGGGCTAGTGCTGGGCTCCATCTCCAGTCAGGGTGTGTAGCCATGCAGTCACCAAGTCCTTGACCTGCCTCCCACTTCACTGTAGAGGTCCTGTGTCAGTGCCCCCTCCATCCCAGTTCAATCTAGGCAGCTTTGTCTTTAAGCATTGATAGTATATGTAATGTGGGTCACCATAGCTTGGTTCCTCTCAGTCCAGAGGGCTTGGCTGTCTTTAAATGGACCTCCACTGATAGCCCTTTCCAAGTCCAAGTCCTTCTATGATATCAGTTGCATTGGCAGAATGTGTCCTGAAGGGAAAGCCTTTCTTAGCTCCCTCCATATTAACAGCCACATTCAAATTATAGCTTCGCTTAAATAGGAAACTAATTAAGAACCAAGAAATACCATAAACAAAAGCATCTCCTCAGTTCTCATCTAGGTAACAACTACACAGTCCTAACCACAGTGGACCCTAAATCCTATCAGCCCTGCCTCTGGACTGTGCCCTGCCCACTCGCTTCCAAACAGTAGGTGCTGAATTGCAGAGAGGGGCACGTGGAGCTGCCTTGGAGCAGCTCTGCACACACATCAAGAGCATGCCTGAGACAGGGAGCCTGAGAGCAGCACTGGGGTACATGCTCAGGGCCGTCCCAACACTTGATAGCAATACTTGAACAAGCCAGAGTCCCTATCTGCAGCCTCATTGCTGTCCTCAAGTGCATCTCCCCCAAGAATGCACATCCTCTTTCCTGGAAGGGGCTGAGAGTCACGTAAGGAAACCAGCTCGTGGTCTGTGTCCTTGTCCCTGGGGTCTGGGACAGAAGTTTCATAAACTGGTTTGATCCAAATCAGTTAAGTCTGATACTACATTCAACCAGGTTTATCTTAACCCAGTTTCAGCCATTCTGAAATTGGTTTGTGTGTATTGAACTTCTGTTCTGTTTATGTGTAACTTCTGTCCCTAGTTATCACACCAGATTATGTGTAACTTCTGTCCCTAGCCTGGGTGTCCATACCTATTAGCTTCAGTTCATCTTCAGTCCCAAACTTCTTGCTCCTAGCTCCCCATACTGGGGCTTGCCTCAGTAGCAAAAGCGAGTGGGTTCCTTCCTCAAGGCACATTGTAACAAATAGCACACAGATAATTCCTCACACAGCAGGACTGACTTACTCCCCAGGCAAGGTGCGTGGTGCTGCTAGCTATCCCTGGGTACTGGGAAACACTAAATTGTTGGTAGAGAGCCACAGCACCTGCACGCTGCAGGACTCATGCAGCTGGGCACTTCCTTTAGCCTCACATGAGATACAGCTTTTAGGGTTTTTCCCCCCAATGTTACCTTTTTTACTTTTTAATAACAGACACTGGAGCCCTCTGACTTGCATAGTGCTTCATAATCTACCACTTTAAAGGATGTTAATTAAAGCTGACATCCAGGTAATGAAATTTTACATTCAGCCTCTTTTCTAAAAAGAAAGTGAGAAGCTCATCGCATGACATCATCTGAGTAAATTTTGCAGATCAGCTTCATTTTCTCCTGGATTCATGCACATCCTTCAGGCTGTTTGTCTGGGGAGATTAAGTGGACTTCTGAGTTCATTTAATTGCCAAACAGCCCCATGCTGTCAGCTCAGAAGGGCTGGAGACAACAGCCCATGACAAGTGCAATCCCTGGGACTGAGTGATTGATACTGGTAACATTTTTAATGATTAACTAAATGGGTCTGTTTACGAGACAGCCTCTGGGGACCGCACCATAGCTTTGCATAGGAGCTGCCATTGCTGCTCTCCAAAACCGTCAGGTAGATTTTTGTGAAAGGCGTGTAAGACATTAGGTACCTAACTCCCCATGGCAGTTTGAAATGTGTGCCCTGTGGCTTCTGCCCTCCACCTTTGCCTTGAGAGAAGAGAAACTGTTCTTACTTTGCAGTCGCAGGGGCAGGGACTTGCTGAGGCTGCAGCTGATCCTCCAGTGCAATTTTTTGAGGACTCTGAACAGCCTTACCTGCAACCTTAGCAAGTTTAGGAAGTGAAAGCAGAAATCTGTGTTCACTTTAAAAGGTTTCAGATTTACAGTCAGGGTAGTAGTGGGCCTCAACTTAGCTCCTGGACTGTGAAAACCCCACACCTTAGAGCAAAGGGTGCTTCAGAACTGGAACATTGCTCCTAATGGCATGGCTGTCACCCCAAGCTATACTGAGCTACACAAAAACTGGCACCCCAGGCCCAAATCCCTCTGAACTAAATTGAGAGCAGAGGAGGGAAAAGACCTATTTGGTTGGTTTGGGCCCAGGCATAGGGTAAATGTGTTGAGTATAGCTAGTAAAGAAACAAAACCCCTCACCTGTTTGAAACACAGTGCATTTACTAGTACAACTATTATGAGCTGGAATGAAAAATACCAGTCAAGGCTGCTGGAAGGCGCGGAGTTCACTTGGGCTGGAATTAGTTAAGTAGCATGTATGTGCATGCACATGTCAGTATTGCAACGGGCTCTGCCCCCTCTCTCTTCCCCCCAGTATGCCTGTGCTGGGATTCAGTCTAGGATCTGTCAGAAGCCCTCAGACTGTGATGGCTGCCTTGGCCTCTACACTTGCAAACTGCCGAGAGGGAAGTGCGATTTGAAAGCAGTTTCCAGGGAAACAGGTATGTTACAGCTCCCACCTCAAGCAGCACGGTGTAGCATGCAATGCATCCAGCTCCCACAAGATGTAGTGAGGTCCTAGGAGCTGTATGTACATTGGTTGAAAAAAAGCAAACATACACCCTGGACTTTTTCAAATCACCTCTTCGTAATGCTTGTAGCGACTCCACTAAGCTTCACCAAGTGAACAGCAGCAGGGGGTACAATGATGGTGGCAGGAGAATTTCACCTCTGACAACCCCCGGCTGAGTGAGGCACATGCTATGGAGAACGGTACATTTAACAGGAGGGCGCATGAGAGCTATATTAAATATGGCTATGCTAATTAGTAGGTTGTTTATATGCATTTGAAATTCTGGTTTCACAATGATTGTTAATTGCTATTATGGTTAGTTTGGCTGAGGAAGATACATACTTTCCTGAAAGAGGCTGTGCTAGATCCAGTTGGAATTGGTGTGTTGGGTAGCAGCTGATGCCACACACAACTGATAACTTACAACTGGGACGCAGAAGGAAATGACGTCTGTCAGACTCCCCAGACCGTCTGAGAAGAGGAAAGATGGTCCCGCAGCATAGCCACAGGCCTTGGAGTCAAGAAACCCAGGCTTTGTTCCTCCCTTTGTTCTGCCACAGTTTGTGTGCACGAAATGAGTGAAACTCAATTAACCTGCTCCGTTTCTTCATTTGCTTAACGGACATATTACCTGGTAGAACAGTTCATTCATTAATTTGTAAACCAAATTCAGTGTAGAGGATGGAAAGCAGTCTAGAAATGCTGTCCGTAATGAATATGCAAGTAAACAAATGTTTATGTAAATATGATCAAGTTGTTTAACTAACACAGGTCCTTTTAACTTACTCATACACTGACTGTTCTCAGGTCTATAAAGCTAATAGATCTCCTAATCAAAGGAATTGGTATAAGGAGGTTATAGTGATCCAGTCCCCTTATCAGGCTCATTTTGCATGTGTTTTCTGCAGGTGGATTCCAGCAAAGCGTGCGAAGCACATGAGGCACGTAACCCTGCTATGACTGGAACAATGTAGCCCCGTGTCAAGCTGACAAGGTTGCACTGCCATCTAGAGACCAAAGCTTTCTGCATTTCTTTATAGATTTCATTTTCTGGGTTTCACTTTAATAAGATGTAAGCACGCCACACACAAACCATGTAACACTGTCTTCTGTAAGCCTTTAGTACTCCTTCCATAAGCTACAACCGGAATTCATGCTATCCTTAAGGCTACCAGTGAAACTACTTCATGGGCTACCAAGCCAAGGGCTGGAGGGCACCTTAGATTTGTCCTGCTACAGGCAGACCACAAAGGAAAATGAGCCTAGCTATGATCATGACCTGATTTATCCTGCACTCCAAGGGTGGGTGTTTTTCATTAAAAGCTGCCAGTGGTCACAACTCTGGTTTCATCAGGGTCACACTCAGCGTGAAATTCAGCTAAAAGTTCAGCTACCACCAGAAATGTCTCAAGAAATCTTTCTGGGTCTTTCCTTGCTGTGACTCCAACATAACTAGTATCCTTCAGACCTGCTACATTGCTCCTCACAATGCAGCCATCTCCACAACCGGAAGCTGTGTAGCCGTGCTACTAAAGGCATACTGATTAGGACAGCCATTCAGTAGGACTAATTAGTCCACAAAGAGATGGCTGCACTGTTTTTGGTTGAGGTGGTAGCATGCATGCTTCATGGCACCGCTACCAGGCATAGTATCTTTACAGTGCAGCGGGGGCTCAGGGGCATTGCTGAGCTGTTTCTCCCTGTTCATCTGTCATTACATTTCCCCTCCATTCTTTGAAGTATAAAGAAACAGCTTTTGTTAAGGGAAGATAAATTAAGGTGGGATGTCGCCACCACAAGACTTTCAAAGCTCTTGGTAGTTGCAGTGTTCTTTTGATAGCTTCAGCAATGATTAGCTAGGGTCTTAGCAAAGCACAGAATCAGAGAGCTGTTGAGACTGAAAAAGACCCATAAACCTTATCTATTTGTTTTACTGCCTGATTTTGCCCAGGTCATGCAACTATAGAACAAAACTGGTGGTCTTAAGTGATCTCTTCTGCTGACTCACTATAAATCATAACTTGCACATGTCATAGATGTTCAAGTGACAGGAGAAGACGTGTGGCTTTTTTGTCAAGTAAAAAATTATTATAAACCACACAAGTGGTATCCAATGTGAAAAGGATATGGATTTTGTGCAGGTAGATGGGAAAGCTTCTAAATAAAGCAGATTGGTAAATGCCACTTGCTGTATTTTTGTTGGTGGTGGTCTGGGTTTTTCTCCCGTTTTTTGGTTGATCTATCTAAAAAGTGGCCATTTTAAGAAACATTGTAGGTGCTGCAGACCAAAGAGGCAGGGATCAGATGCCCTCGACCCCCGGGCTGTGGTGTTCAGTGTTGGGGAGAAGAAAGAAGGAAGCCTGCTTGAATTTCTAGAAGCCTGTCTCTCAGACAAACCCCTGCTGGAGAGATATTTTGGGGGGCTTTATGTGTGAAAGCAAGATGTGGGAGAGTGCTTGAACACCGGAGAGAGCATGGATGAATGGGTTGGAAAATGTAACTATTCAACCACTAGATGGCCTGTTGGTCCATCTATAACATCTGACAAGAGAAAAAAAGAATTTTAAATTCATAGCGCATTTTCTTTTTACATCACTCATTTTAATTATATCAAATAAAGTTCTCAACTTAGACAATATGAGGGAAGGCGTCTCCAGGTGCCACAGGTCCCTGACACAGCCACCTTTGCAGCTCCTGTGGCTAGTTGGCAGGTCAAGTTCTCAGGAGGTGTAGTGGTTCCTCCTCTGGCTTGTTCTCTCGTGAGTAAGCTCTCCCCTGCCCAGTCAGCAGTCCTCGGTGTCCTCGTTTTAGTGCGTGGCTATTTTCATACACTTCCTCTATTTCTCCCCTCCCTTTGTCCTCCATCATTTCGCATCAGAAGCTCAGTCTAGGGTTAGAGTCTCCCATTATGACATCCAACAGTGCCACTTGGAGGGGAGGCAGGGCACAAGTAATTGGCTAATAGTTGTCCTAACCACAATATAAATAGAACAAAAAAAATGGTTTAATAACTAAGAAGTCAAATCCATTTGGAGGTCTGCAATACGCCAATGCAGAGTTCAGAGTGCTTGGTCCAGTGCATGTTACTGTAGAAGTCCAGAGACCTGTCCAGGCTGCTCCATTGCCACCTCTTCCTCTCCTGATGCTGCATTCACGCAAGAGCAAATCCTCCGGCATTCAGCTCCCAGGTCGGTCACCTGTTGGGGAGCAAGCTAAGTGGGAACGGTTAGTAACAGTCTGTCTGGTTTCTGCTGAATTGTAAACTCCTCCTCTTCCATTGAATGGTGGCACTTGTGGCTCTTATTTCTTGTGGAGGAATTTCATTTTGCTACCTGAAGGGGATTGTGACAGAAAAACAACCTTTACAAAGAGACAGTTTTAGCTCCATCTCTTGCTCCATGAACCAGGTAGGGCAAGGAGAGCAGTGGAGCTAGACCATAAGATTTTCCCCACTGCCAACACTAAGCCTAAGTGCAGAGCCAAGAGGATGGAGTCATGGTCCACTACAACTGGTCCCATGAGACCCCCATGTGTCAGCCAGATGGGTACAATTTGACAGTGACCCAAGACCTAGAGTTCTCTCTCCTTCTCCCCTACATAGGGGTGTGGACAGCTATAATATCTGAAGCGCTTCAAATGTCTTGCTGTAAAAATGGTAGAGGCACGCCACAAGGAATACTGAAGGAAACCAGTACTATTTAGAAGTGCTTCAAAGTGCAGCTGCACTTAGTAATGCTTCAAATGTTATATCTGTCTCCACAAAGGAGTTAAATGGCTCTTTGAGGGTTTCCAGTCATCTCTCTATGTAGGCCTGTATATAGCCCATACTATCCGAATGGCTTATAATCATTACACCTGAGTAAATTTATCTTCACAATGCCCCTGGGAGATATGACCATTTCCACTTTGTGGCTGAGGAGCAGAGGTAAAGGAGGATTAATTGACCCACCCAACTGGGAATTGAATCCAAAACTCCCAGTCCCACACCAGTGCCTTCATCTTCCTTTGGGAGTCAAGGGAAGAGCTCAGGGCTTACTGAGCTCCAAACGCCCATTCTGCAGCACTGAGTGCCAGTAACAATCGTGAATATTCATAGGTGGCTTGGATCATTTAGGGAAGGCCACAAAACAAATCTCAGCAATGCGCAGCCCTTTGGAAAGCAGTGCTGGCTGCTTCGGCTTCTCTGTTGTCAAATCACTGATCTGGTGATACAACAACAAACAGTACTGACCCTGGGCAAAGGCAATACCTGCTCTGGCAACTTACCTAATCCTTTCAGGAATTTATTGACTCCACTCTGCTCCCCACTAGGAAGGGTTTCCAGGTACTCCTGGGCACGTACCTCAAACAGACCTTCGGGGAAAGACAGCACAACTCTTCTCATTCCAAATACAGAATGATGTAAACATTAATCAAATCTCAGAGTATTTCTCTGAGGTCATACTTTCTCCTGCTTTTACAATTAAGGAAACTGAGGAACAGAGCATTTTAAGTGACTTATCCAAGGCAATAAGAGAGCCTGGGAACTGACTCAAAAACTCCCAGACCTGACTCAGATCATCCCTCTCTCAAAGGTGACATCAATGCAGTCTTTCACAGGCCTATGGACATAACAGCCTCATTCCAGAGCTAGGACTGGTGTTGTTCTGGGAGATCATCTTGGCTGTTGGTGTTATTCTCAGAGTTATTGGAAGTTTGGCAGCAAATACATCACAAAGCTATCTGACATAAGAAGAGACCCCAACCTTTGACCCCTTGTTTCCGCAGCTCCCGTTCCTGAATGAAGCCCCCAAACATCTGAGTTTCCATGAAGACCTCCAAGAATCGGCGCAGGCTCTTGGAGGAGACAGACTTGCGGAAGGCCTCCTTCTGCAAGGTCCGCTCGTCTCGCTCACCAGGGGTCAGGAACAGGGAATAGTGGCCCACAATTTCCACAAAGAAACGGACAAAGGCTTCTGACACCACTTCATTCAAGGGGCTGGACTCCAAGGAACAGGTTGCAGAAGAGGCTGAGAAAGACACGAGGTGAAGATGGAGCTGTAAGGCTGTGCACGCTGTAAGGTTTACTTTAAATTGGCATTCATGGCTGTGGCCCATACCACCTTACCAGCCCCGTATATGGCCTCTGCTGGGCTCTGTAAAAACAGTACTCTGCACTTGCCTGAAAGCAAGTAGCCACTCTGGAGGCAGAGTACCTTAACAAATACTTTCCATTGAAAGACAGGCTGCTAGCGCTCCCAAGAGACTATGTAGCGCACTTAGCCTGGCTGGTGCTCTGCCTTTGTGCCATCAGCCCCCACAATAAAAAGCTGCTCAAGGATGGTGATCTGTAACCTGCATTGCCACTTAGGAGACCCCAGCTCAGCTTATGGACTCACCCGCTCCACATTAGCTGTGTTGTGGAGACATCATGCTTGGCCTGGCTGGAGAGCCTGGCTTCATTCACAGGGCCAGCATTGCAGTGTGATGCCCAGCTAGTTGGATTATGGCTGCTCCCAAGAGCTCTGTGGCTTTTCAGGGGCACATGAAGCATAGACACATGGGGCTGAGAGTGAAGGATCAGTCATGAGTGGCCAGTGGTGAGGGGATCAGGCAAAACGCTAGCCATGCTGTTTCTGTAGGCTTCAGATGAACTGTGCCTTTGATTCAAATCTGGACCCAGAGCTAAGAAATAGTCGTTTTTGGGGGGAGAAAACAGACATGTCTCAGAGCTTACCCTGCTTGCCATTCAGAGTGCCCTCCTCCTTGTCATTACCCAGCTCATTCCTCTGCTCCAGGATGTGCTCAAGTGCTGCTTGCAGCTTCCGGGGAAGAATAGAGTCCTCATCCTCCATCTAGAAACACATGCAGTTACTCAGGGACTTTCATAGTGTGAGACTTGGACCAGCTCTGCGAACCTGCCTTTTCCCTTGCCTATGTCACATGGAGTCACAGATACAGAAGGCCCTGTCAAAGATTATTGGTCATAATACCCTGATAATGATGATAATACTGGGTATTTACATGGAAGTAGCCTTCCATTCTTCCTTTGAATAGTAAAGGGGGAAAATGGCCTCATTCTCAAATGCACCTCTTACATCAGATAGGTCAGACTGAGATCCTGCCTCCCAGCCACAACTCCATTCCTTAGAGGAAGGAAAAGTGTAGTTCTGGAGGTGTTGGTGTTGGTCTGGGAAGTAACACAGTGGGGAGTCAAAAGGAAAGGCTTTGTTATATCCTGGCTCCTGGAGGTGGGAAGACCAATGTAAGCCATGAAGAGACAGTAATATAGCCAGAGCAGGTGATAGAAAACAGCTACATAAAGAGATAAGAAACATCCTTTATCCTGCACTGTATCTCCATGAGAGAGAAGTCCTACCCATTTTGTACAGATGGGAGCCTGAGGCTGAAAGGGGTTAACTCACCCAAGGTTACACAGGGAGTCTGTGGTCGAAATGGGAGCTGAGCCCAGAGCTCCTGGTCAATCTGATCTCTTTGCCAGAAAATGTGGTTCCTGGTCTAAATTGTTTGTGCTGCGGTTGTGATTCAGAAGGGCTGGATTCTGTTTAACATGCCCTGACCCCTCCCCAGAAGTCAGGGAAAAGGTAGTCTCATGAGTCTGTTCCAGAAATCTCCCAAATTTTACACGCCTCTTCTCCGGGTCACAGGGAATTGGAATCAATAAGCACATTTGTTTGCAGACTCATTGCCAGATTCCCCTTTACTGCATTTCTAGTTATGGTCCAGTAATGCAAGGACTAGAGGGAGGCACGTGAGAGGAACCAATGAAGCCAGAAACTGAAAGGTCCATTAACATCATACTATCTGGGAGGTGCAGGTATTATGATTATAGGGCAAGTCTACATTACAGAGCCTCAGCCACTATAGCTATGGCCAGCATAGCCACCAAGAGAAGATGCGACATATTTTGGTAGATGAAGTTTGCAAGTATTGTTACAGCATCTCCCCAATAGCTATGTCAAAAGCAGGGCTGTTCTGCTGACACACCTAGGTCCACACCAGAGGCTGTGCTAACAAAAGCAGGTAGGCCAAGGGGTGTGATTCTTTTTATACCCTGGGGTGACACAGATATGCCAGTAGAACATGGCAGTGTAGATCAGGCCCTAGTAGGCAGTATGGATTAGAGCTTCAAGCAAGGGCCTAGGAGTCAAGACTCTTGCATTTTGTTCCCAGTTCTACCTGGGGCTCAGTCTGTGACTGAGGGCAACACATTTGCACTGCCCTTATGTCCCAGTTTCCATACTTCACAGGTCATGCAGTGCTTAATTCCTTGGTATTCACAAAGTACTTGGGGATTCCTAGATGATAGCACATTATACGAGCACAAAGCACCAGGACGTTATAGTTAAACAACAGTTGGCATCCAATCCTGCTTCCTGGTCTGCATACAAGCAGGTCTTCTAGCCAGCAGGGTAAAAAATGCAGATCAAGATACAAGGAGACAGAAGTAGTAGAGAGAAGTACCAACCCAATAGAGAAAAGCTCTGCTCACCTGTCTGAGGAACCGGTTATTAACAAGGTCAACCACTAGGACCTACCAAGGAGAGAGAGAGAATGGGGAGTCATCATTTCCTGTCATCAGAAAGAGTATCTTAAAGAAAAAATCTTGCCCTGCCCCATCCCACATAACCACAGCAGCAGGTGGGGGATATAAAATGCTGGCCAAAGGCAAGCCGTTTGTTGTGGTATTCTGACCACTTCACCACAGACCACAAAACAACAGCTTTGAAAGAAGCTTGCTCCCCAGCCCACCCCACCACGTCTGAAAACCAGAATCCTTAGATTTCAAAACAGTCAGCTCTACTGCTTGAGCTAACAGCCTTCCAAGGATGCTCTGGCCTGGTTTGCACAGCAAAGCATGAGTGAGTGACCAGAATAACATGCAGATTTATTATATACACCCATTTAATATTTATGCAATGCCCCAAAACCAAACAATAACATTCTTTAAAGATCAAATATATCATGTGTAATTTGTGGAACTCACTGGCACAGGCGTATTGGGAGTAGTTTGTTCAGTGCAATTCTGAAAAGATCGGCTGTGTCTGAACAGCAGTGGTAGATATGGAGAAGGCAAAATATGGTAAGAAAAAGGTCTTTGATCCAAGTTTGTCTTTGAAAGACATTTTTTTTCCTTTTACAGCTCACTAATGGGCAAGAAGTCACAGTCTACCACAGGTATCCCCTGCCCTGGGGTCTGAGAATACTGTGGGAGCAAGGATGATAATTTTACCAGGTTATTTTGGGTTTGTGCATGTTTACACTTGCTCACCATCTGTTCCCGTCAGAATTACTTAGAGGTCTGTATTAGCTATACAGAAGGGCAGGCAGCCCAACCCTGGACAATCCCTAAAAAAGTAAAATTCATATATGACAGATTTAGTAATTCAACCACTGGGAGTATTATCCTGACAGCATCACACAAAACTTTCAATAATAACTCCCCACTGCACCGAAATCACCATTAGAGTCTACCGCCTCACCCTTCTCTCAACTCCCTGTGGGACTGGAGAAAAAAACAATCCTGCAGCATGCCTTGAAGATCATTGGGCACAGACAAAAGTTATGTCTGTCCCACAGTCAGCCCCTGGGAGTGCTTTAGAGCCATGTCCTGACAGAAGCGCATGGCTGCAAAGCACTTTAAAAGGGATCGATCCCATGACAATCTGAACCCTCCTTACATGAGGGTTCAGATGAAGGCGCTCCACAGCACAGCACCTTCATTAACTTCTGTCAGCGTGCACCAGGAGCGGGGCAGGGCTGGGCAAGGCTGGGCTACCTCAGGGGGGCTCCAATCCACTCACCCCACTCTCCAGCACTGACTGAAAAAACCTCAGAGCAAGTTCCCTCTGCTCCCTTCTCCCTTCCCATTCCGAAGACAGCACTGGGGCTGGAAGGAGGGAGAGGCAGGGCTAGGGGAGAGCAGCTGCAAACTCGCAGCCACTCCAAATTGCAGCTGGATCTCCCATCCCCTGGGACCCAACAGCAAAAGTCTGTTGGGCCTGGGGGATCACTTGAACTCATGGCACTTCCTAAAAAGTGCCATGAGTTACAGCAGGGAGCTGCACTTCTGTCTGTGCCCATTATGTCACTTCCTCCTACCTACCAATAGCATTAACGGAGTTTGGTAGGTAGCAGCCTGCATGGTCTGGAGCCAAAGGCTGTGAGTTCTGTCTCCTACATAGCTAGCCAAACCAGGATAGCCGTATTGCCATAGTTATAATGACACACTGCCCTAAAATGGGGAAGCAGCTGTGGATTTGTAGGGCAAACCTTACAAGGATACATGACATCATCACCTAGCAAAAGCTGGGTTTTTAAATAGCAATCTCAAAGGTGTTCATGGCTCACCTCTTCCACAGGCAGCTCCTTGAGGCAGGGCAGGGAACTGGAGAGTAGACCGATCAGGAAGGGAGTCGGCGAGCATACTATGTCAATCATGGAAGGCGGCAGCACTGGGATGTAGGTGTGCTGCCAGGTGAAGGGGTAAAGCAGGGCCACCATGGCATGGCAGCACTTTGACAGGGTGCTGGGGGACAAGAGCAAACACACAGGGGCCAGTCAGTTTGTAGACAGGTGCTCAGGCATTTCTGAGTGGCTCAGGGACACCACAGGTGCTAGTCACTTGCAAAACTCTGGGCCCCATTCTTTATTTCATGATCCAACACACATGAAACAGTTTAGGATTGCAAATGGGGATTGCCCTGTCACATGGCGAGTGCCACTTTCACTGCCCCAAGTGACAGCTGGCAGTGCCACACAGAAGGGGCTTGCTGTGCTGTCTTTAGAGAAAGGTTTGATACAGCAAGGAAGGCACAATCTGTGCTGTTGCTTAATTCTCTCCCCTGGCCCATGACACTAAATTATAATTAGCAACAACATCTCCTTCTGACACATGGGAACATTGGACTAGCAGAGGCCACCCTGGCCAATGGCTCATTCTCAGGAACTCACTTGTCCGAAGAGTCTACAAGATCAACCACTCACACGTTACAAAATGTGCTGCTACAAAATACCCTAGTGTGCCCCCCCTGCCCTGCACAACATACTACCAGGTAAAGAGGTGTGGAAACACAGGCACCCACCAATGCTATGATCACTGCAATGTCATGGAATTTGTTAGGTTAAAACATAACCAGATGGTCTTGGGAATAGAACTGTGACACATGCAACAAGGTAGAGAAATGTCTACCCCCTGCCTCCACCCCCACAAACCC